ACCCCTTTCAGGGACATTATCCCTGTTTTGGGGACAGTTAACCCCATTTTGGGGGACGATTATCCCCGTTTTGGGGGACAATGGACCCATTTCGGGGATGGTTGTCCCCGTTTCAGGGACATTATCCCCATTTTGGGGACAGTTGGACCCATTTCAGGGATGGTTATCCCTGTTTTGGGGACAGTTATCCCTGTTTTGGGGACAGTTAAACCCATTTTGAGGAGGATTATCCCCGTTTTGGGGACAGTGGACCCATTTCGGGGATGTTTGTCCCTATTTCAGGGACATTATCCCTGTTTTGGGGACAGTTATCCCAGTTCAGGGATGGTTATCCCTGATTTGGGGACAAATATTCCATTCTGGGGACATTATCCCTGTTTTGGGGACAGTTATCCCAGTTCAGGGATGGTTATCCCTGTTTTGGGGACAAATATTCCATTCTGGGGACATTATCCCTGTTTCAGGGACGGTTATCCCTGTTTTGGGGACAATTATCCCAGTTTAGGGGACAGTGGACCCATTTCGGGAATGGTTGTCCCCATTTCAGGGACATTATCCCTGTTTTGGGGACAGTTATGCCCATTTTGGGGACGATTATCCCCATTTCGGGGACACTGGACCCATTTCGGGGATATTTGTCCCTATTTCAGGGACATCATCACTGGTTTGGGGACAGTTATCCCATTTCAGGGATGGTTATCCCTGATTTGGGGACAGTTATCCCTGTTTTGGGATTCGTTATACCCGTTTTGGGGACAATTATTGCATTCTGGGGACAATTATCCCTGTTTAGGGGATGGTGGATCCCTTTCAGGGATGGTTATCCCAATTTTGGGGACGGTTATCCCCGTTTTGGGGACGGTTATGCCCGTTTTAGGGACAGTTATCCCCATTTTGGGGTTGTTTATCCCCGTTTTGGGGATGGTTATCCCTGTTTTGGGGACAGTTATCCCCATTTTGGAGATGGTGGACCCATTTTGGGGACAACTATCCTCATTTTGGGGATAGTTTTTCCCATTTTGGGGGAAGCAGAGCCATTTGGAGGCTGACCCTGCCCGTTTGGGGCCTGGCAGTGCCCCTTTTGGGGACGGCAGCTCCTTTCTGGGGCGCAGCTCACCCCATTTCAGGGCATGTCAGTGGCCCTGCCCTCCCCAGACCCCCCCATTTGTGTGTGTGTCCCCCCCCCAGGAGCTGGTGGTGCAGAAGGGCTGGCGCCTGCCCGAGTACACGGTGACGCAGGAGTCGGGGCCGGCGCATCGCAAGGAGTTCACCATGACCTGCCGCGTGGAGCGCTTCGTGGAGATCGGTACGGGGCCGGGACACCCCCGGGTGTGTTGGGGGGGGACAGGACAGGGTGCCACGCTCCCCTCGGTGTCTCTTGTCCCCTCCCTACAGGCAGCGGCACCTCCAAGAAGTTGGCGAAGCGCAACGCGGCCGCCAAGATGCTGGTGCGGATCCACAACGTCCCCATGGAGCCACGGGAGGGCAGCGAGGCCGAGGTGGAGGAGGACCAGTTCTCCATGGTACTGGCCAGTGAGGGGTTAACTGGGGGGGACATGGGCACCCCGAAGTCACCCCAAGGGGTTAACGGGGGACACAGGCACCCCGAGGCCACTCTGAGTTTAATGGGGGGGATATGGGGCACTCTGGGGCCACCCTGGAGAGTTAATGGGGGGGATGAGGGCACCCCAGGGGGTTAATGGGGGACATGGGTACACTGAGGCCACTCTGAGAGGTTAACGGGGCGACATGCGGGCACCCCAAGGTCACCCCAAGGGGTTAATGGGGGACACGGGCACCCCGAGGCCACTCTGAGAGGTTAACGGTGGGGACACAGGCACCCCAGGGTCACCCAAGGGGTTAATGGGGGACAAGTCACCCCAAGGGGTTAATGGGGGACACAAGCACCTCAAGGTCACACCAGGGCGTTAATGGGGGACACGGGCACCCCGTGGCCACTCTGAGAAGTTAGGGGGAACATGGGCACCCAAGGTCACCCCGAGGATTTAACAGGGGACGTGGGCACCCTGAGGCCACCCCAGGGGGTTAATGTGGGACATGAGCACCCCAAAGTCACCCCAGGTGGTTAATGGGGCACCCTCAAGGTCTCCCCCAAGGTGTTAACAGGGGACACAGGCACCCCAAAGTCACCCTGAGGGTTTAAAGGGGTCCCCCCAACGTCACCCTGAGGGGTTAATGGGGGACACGGACACCCCAAGGGGTTAATGGGAAGAACATGGACACCCTGAGGGTCGGTTGGGGACACCCTGAGGAGTTAACAGGGGACACGGGCACCCTGAGACCACCTCAGGGGGTTAAAGGGGGACACAGGCACCCCCAAGGTTACCCCAAGGGGTTAATGAGGGGGACACAGGCACCCCCAAGGTCACCCCAAGGGGTTAACAGGGGACATGAACACCTCGAGGTCACCCTGGGGGGGTTAATGGAGGGGACATGGGCACCCCAAGGTCACCCCAGGGATTTAACAGGGGACATGGGCACTCCGAGACCACCCCAGGGGTTAATGGGGGACACAGGCACCCCAAGGTCACCCTAAGGGGTTAACAGGGGACATGAACACTCCCAAGGTCACACTGGGGGGTTAATGGGGGACACAGGCACCCCAAGGTCACCCCAAGGGGTTAACAGGGGTGACATGGCCACCCCGAGGGGTTAATGGGGGACACAGCCGCCTCCGTACCCCTGTTTCCTGGACCCGCAATGATTAAAGTTGGGGGGCAGCAGGGCAGGGGGACACCCAAGGGTGACCTGGGTGGGGACCCTCTGGATTTGGGGTCCCTGGGTGGGTGAATGTGCTCCCCATGGAGGGTCCCTGAATCAGGGGGGGGGTCCTGCAGTCCCTGAGCCCCCTTGTCCCATAGGGGGTCCCCATGGGGGATCCCAACAGCCCCCACATTCCCGGGGGTCCCTGAGCCCCCTTGTCCCCTGGGGGGTCCCCATGGGGGACCCCAACAGCCCCCACCTTCCAGATGTGGCCCCACACGAGGGTCCCTGAGCCCCCTTGTCCCTTGGGGGGGGGTGTCCCCATGTGTGGGGGTCCTGGCAGAGTCCCCACGCAGGGTCCCTGTAGCGGGTGTGGGGGGGTGTGGGGTGTGTCCTGGTGTCCCCAAGCCCCCCCCCCCCCCCC